AAGTTTTGATGTTAGTCATATTTACTTAAAATAATTTACCTTATTAGAATAGAAAAGATAAAAAATATTGTTATATTTAAGGTAAATAAAAACGACAATAGCATAAAATATTTAAATTGAATGTGAAATACTTGGAATTACAACGTTTTTTTTAACAGCGTTAAACATTTGATATATTTTAAAAATTAAAAAACTGAATTAATTAATAAATTGAGTGCATAGATATGGTAATAATTAATTGCCACCTAGTGAAATTTCTTGCGACCTTGATTGATTAGTTGTGGGTTTGGTTACCATCCCATATGATTGCAATTCCATTAACCGAAAAGGTTCTCCTTGGGCTTCTCCACAGCCCCCATCGTCCATTGACCACAACAAATTGCGCATACGCCGTGTTGCACCTGCTCAACAGCGGCAGAGGCAACAGTCCGATAATATTTCTCATCTTATTCAGAATGCATAGAAGTGGCAGCCGAAGTGGGTGGAAGGTAGCGGAAACAACATGCTTTCAAATCAATCGCAAATGCAATTTACAAAATTGATTGGGGACGAAAATGGAGGCACGAATGCAGCGGGAAATGTTGATGAAGATGGCAGAAATGGATGCACCATCCATCGAAAGGCCGTGGGGCATAACAACTCGTGCTGCAGCAAGCGATTTACATTTTAAATTTGCGTTGCCCCAAAAAGTTGCAATGCCAGGGCAAACGAAGAGATAAATAGGATATTCGTAGTAGAACCCGAGTTGCACACACTTGATAAATGTCGTCGTCTTCGGATTGTCCTTACTTTCGGTCTGTTTTCTGTTCTGGTTCTGGTTCCCTAGAGCATAATAAATTATGCCCAAATGCTTGTTACATACCAAATAGAAGCATATTTCTTCAACCATTTCGGTGGCTCCTTTCGGGCTGAAAATGTTGCAGAGAAACGTATTGGAATGGTGTGCACTTAAGCTAAGTTAACTTGTCTACTTGAAAGAAGTGAAGAAAATACGGATAACATTAAATAAATTACCATTTTTCAGAGAGGACAATTTCTAAATTGTTTACAAATTGGAAACTATAAGATTACTTCTTAAGAAATCAAGTTAAATGAATATATATATTTGTAAATATTTTCTTTTTCAACTTAAATTAAGCCCTTTCACATCTTCTTTCATTTTATTTATTGTCCTTGAGCTACTTGAATGTCCTTACAGTTCCATCTATAGTCTAATCCTGTCTTAATCCTCTTACCGGATTTTTACCCTAAAGTCTTCTAAATTTTAAGCAGCTTAGCCACATGTGATTCTCCTCAGAGGCACATTAATCAGAGCTTCATAGCTTCAAAACTTAATTACAACATTAAATAAATCGTAAACTCTTGGGCAAGCACAAAATGAAAATTCCTTTACAGCAATCGTAGGGAACAAGTTAACTCAACACTTGAGAGGTTTTCCTTTCTCTGAGCAGTCTTTACACAATACAAATTAAAATGGAAAACTGCGGGCTTTTCTACTTACCTTATTTTCTTTGTTTTGACCTTTGCCCAGGCTAAGAGTTTCTGTTCCCTGGGGTCTTTTTAATCAAGGCCTGGCAGTATGCTATATATCTTTTTGTTCAACTCGGCCGATTTGCAACTTTAAATCTAGGTAATTTCTTTTCCCTGGGCTCTCAGCATGAGCTCTGTGACTTAACTGCTGCCACTTAAAACTAGTCAAGATGCACATAAATTTGATCCAAGTTCCGGATACAGAAGGACAACGTCTAGTGTGAAATATATATGGCTGGATGGGAACATTAATTGTCTGGCTGACAGTGGAGAAACGAGAATAGGTCTATAAAAATAATTTAATTTTACAAGCTTCTAGGGAAAAAATTCGGTATGGTTGAAAAAAATCATAAACAATTCCCAGCGTGTGTCACACATTGCCAGAGATATTAAAAATATTATTTCGCCGAGACTTTTTCGGCGATTTATTGACACAGCCAGCTGCCGCAGCGCATTAAAGTATGCTGCGAAAATTGCCTGCAGATGCGCAATGTTTCTTTTCGGTCGGATTGCCTCTTTTTTATTGCTCGGCAAAGTATGCAAAGTACATTGGACCGAGTTTTCCCATCTAATTGCAAATATTTGCCACTCCTGGCCTTCTATTTTCCTTGTATCCTTGTTGCTGCAGTCCTTGTAGTTTGCTATTCCTGCACGAGATAAACCGCTTAGTACTCCTGATGGGATACGAGCTAATGGCTTGTGAAAATGTTTTTTCTATCTGACGTTGTAAAATAACCAGGGAGAAGGCAACTTGATTTCCACTAAGTTGATTGAGCTGCTCGAATTTGGGTGGTATGTAGGTGGATGGTTGAAAGTCATTAGGGTGGTCTGTCTGACTAAAAAGGGGGAGGGGACTTAGCCTTTAGGGAAGCCACATATGTGGGCTGGAGTTTTAATTTCTAAAGGATGTAGGAAATATTTTCGGAATATTTACATTTTTAATGGATTGTACAAAGAGTTATAAAGTGTTTGCTTAAAAAGTTATGACTAGTCATTTAGGTCTTCGATTGACTTAAGTCTTAATAAAGAATATTCTTATTAAGTGTAAGCACTCACAAAATTTCATTTTGCTTAACAGAAATGTTTATGGGTCTTAACTTATAATAAAAGATTAACTTTGCTTTGCAAATTTTACCAAGAAGATTTTTCTCTTATTATTAAAAATACAGACCTATGATAATAGGGCAGGCTCAATATTATTCATTGCATATTTATTCAAGAACTGCCTATTTGCTTTCTCAATGTTCATTGGGTTCTTTTGATTTCGATATGCATATCAAATGAAAACACAACCAAGGCTGCTCAGAAAATACTTTCCTTCCAATCGATTGGGAAGCGGGTAAATCATTCAATCAATGTTAAACCATTTCAGCATTATTTTTCCCTTTTCTTGGGCGCTCTTCACTTTGCCTTTTCATAGCCTCGACAATCGCTATTGATTGAAGGGTGGGCTGGGAGGGGTTCCTAAGTTGGCAATGCAAATTATTCATGCATAAGTTCAGAATACAACCACGATTCTGTGGGGGTTTTTATGCACCATTCGTTGAAAATGTGCCCCCTTTCGCTAGACGCTATTAATATCGATAAAAAAATGAAGTTTTATGGCGGGTAAGTGGGGCGGTTCGGTTGGCTTTATATTATAATTCTCCCAGGGAAATCGATAAATTTTTATTCGGTTCCGTTCCGCTCTTCCGCTTTTCCGCCTTTCCGCCGACTTGTCATGGCTACCAGGACATGCGTTTGCGCTTAACCCACATGCAGCTGGTGGTGCGGTGGTTTCGATGGTTCGGTGGTGGTGGTGGTCTTGCTACTCGATATGGTGGTGGCAGGTCTACTACATTCCACCCCCGATTACCCGGATTCCTCGATTTTTAGTACCGGCATTCAGTCTACTACTGTCGCTTTGCTGTGACAGTATTTATTTGTGTTTCAACCGATGCGGGTCCTTTTTTTTGTTCTCATATCCTTTTATCCTCGCGAGTAAAAACACACACAATGTTGTGACAAATATTTGCTGCAGCGAGTCGATTGATACTCAATTTTTCCTGTGTAATAATACTGTAATGCGAAACAGTTTCTTAAAAGGTTTTAAAAGGATATCAATAGTGTAAAAGTTTAATGGAAACTATTTGAAAGAATTTTTGTATAGAGTCCAAAGAATTACTTAAGGTAATGGCTATTAAGAATACCCTTAAAGAAAATATAAAATTAAAAAAAATTTATAACATATATAATAATTAATTGGAAAAGTATTAGTTTGTTTTGCATAAAGAGTATGGAAAAAAAAAGTTCTTAAGAAAACTATTGTAATTTTAATTTTTGTTTTAATTTGTAATATTCTATTTCTAGAATTCTCAAGAAACTTGGTACCGAAAACTGGATAAAAACTAAGATTTATGTATTTTGGATTAAATTTATTTAACATTTTGAAAGTAGTAAAGTATTCATAGATTCCGTTTTAAGTTATAGGCAGTAATAATAAAAACGAAATATTTGAAGGGGAAAGAAAGAACTTCCCACAAAACTCGCAATTAAAAGCTTTCGCTTGAATTGCTGGTCAAGTAAGCCCCATAATTCAAAGGTTAATCGGAAATGTTTGCTTCATTATCCTGCACACGAAGGCCCCAAGGACACAGCTCATATTGCACTGCCAAAAGGCCATTATGCAAATTCCCCGGGCGCGGTTATCGATAACATTTAATTTCCCAGAAGCAGCTGCTCCCGCTATCGTGCCATATTCGAATAATTATGGCCACATATGGCCAAGTCGCCTGAGTAAGGAGCAGTTTTTGGGGGGTCCTCTACCTTTTTTTTTTGGGCCGGAAACTTTTGTGCATTTTGCACTTGATAACAATCGCTTTTCAGTTGGGGTTTTCGTTCGCAAACTTTCACGCGAAAAAGTTCAAGGACAGTGAATGGGGCAGCCACATTGTAGATTTTATATCCCCACATCCCTTACCACAAAATCACAAAAGTTCGAGACGCAGGCGGCGCTTGTTTAACTTGTCTGTTGAAATTGCATTTTCGATTAAGTCGGCCTGTGTAAACTGCCATCGAGTGCATTTCATATTGTGTGGCATGCAGCAAATTTGGCCTTAGCAGTTCCCGAAAATGAAAAAATAGAACAGATCGGAAGATGAAGATGTGGAAACTTTGCCCTGTCAATTTAAGCGTTCCCAAAGTTGGCGGTCGGATATTGTTTGGCAAGCGTTTAGCACATTAAACCAACTTTCCATGCTGATGGTGTCGATGATATGGAGCGTGGATAAATTGAAATGTTTAAAGTTCTTACCCATATTATAACGATTCACTCTTTAGCTCGATTAACTTTATTTTAAAAATTGACAATCAAAAAATAATATAAAAAAAATGCTAAAGGATACCCTTAATAAATGTATATTTTTTAGAGATGCTTTATATTTTAGATACTTTGTAGATTTTCAAGTTGCTTGTAAACAATCAAGTAATTGAATTTACAAAGTGTTATTCCGATAACAAAATAATAAACTATAAGTTTATAAGGCCTCTATGTACTTCCAGTTTTTGGCTTTAGGAGTCCTTTGGATCGTAAATAGCGCACAATAAATGGTGTTGTACCCAATGTGATGCTAATCCTGGCTGGAGCAAATATTTTGTGAACGGCAAAGGCCACGACAAAGGTGCTTCCTGTCGCTATTTTATCGGCAATTGCCGATGATCCTATTCCAAGGAACTCCAGTATGGGCATCAGGTTGATTCCACTGGATACAAGTAGATAGAAACCTCCAAGGGAAATCACGGATATGACCACGTGAAAGACCACAATGGTGGCTCCATATTCCTTGAAAGCCTGCTTCAGTTGCTCCCTTTTGCTCAGTTTGACAGTAGCAGTGGTCTGTGTGGAAGCGGATTCGGTACTATAGCTTCTTATAAGTGATCCTCCTTGGGTCATCCAATCCATGTTCTGAGATGTAAACATAGAGCCCTGTGATCTCTTGATAGGGATGGTATTTGTAGTCGCTGCTACGGAATTTCTCATCCAGTATCTTCCTTTGAAGACTTGAACAACTGACATCTTCTTTAGGTTATATAGACCCAAAGGTATACGGGCTCTTAGAAGCACACATGCCTTCCCCGATTCTAGGAGCATTTTTTGCAGATTAAGGACAAACTTATAGAGGGGGTTATGTCTTGTAAGTTTATATCCTTAAAGTTTTATTTGTGTTCCGAAAAAATAAACAAATCTAAAATGACATTAAAACGAAGGACTTCATGTAAACGAGTATTTAAAATATTTTATAGATCGATATTAACTGTATATTTATTCATTGGGTTTATTTACTTATGGTTATACTATAAATTTAAATATAAATTATTTTGTGTAGTGTAAAGGAATAATTTTATGTTAATTTAATTTAATTAAATAAATTTTTGTTGTTCTTAAAGCTAAATGGAATTTGTATGGCTTCCCTCAAAAGAGAATGACAAGCAGAAAATTAAGGGTAATCCTGTAATTAAAATGTAGAGCCTCGTATAGGATACCATTTCTTCAGCACCTTCCTTATCTATTGCGTAACACAAAGTTTTACCCCCTTTTTTCTTCGTGGACGTGCATAATTGTGTGATAATGTCCCCCTGTTAAGCTATAAATTCATTATGGCTGTGACGCCTCTGCGCTTTTCACCCTGCCTTAAGCTATAAGTTCAGCGATACTATAAAGCTTTTCCCGAAAGTCGTTGCTCTTTTTTTCCTGATTTGATTAAACTGCAATTAGCTGTGAGGGGGTGGAAAATGGTTGAAATATATACTCCCCCAAAAAGACAGCTCCAGAAGTTTCGGTGACATCAGCAAAAGCATAAAGGGTATTTGGGGGAGTATCAACCCTGTTTTTGATTCTGCTTTAAAGTGCGTTGAACTGGTGCCAAGTGGAAACGCCCCACTGAACTACTTTGCACCATATTGGGCACTGCCAAAATGTCTGAGCACGTGCAGGCTGCGGATTGCTAAATGGATCTATGTGGCGCCAAAGCGACAGGAAAGTTTACACCTAAAAAAATTTCCTGTAAATTAGTTTAAAAACCTGCATAAAGGTACAAATAAGAACTTGAAATTACAAAAATTTAAGTGTTTAAAAGGGTTAGGGACTATATATTATCACTAGGGTTGCGTAATACCTTTTAAATGGTTTCTAAAAGTATCCTACAATAAATGTATTCATAAAGAAAACTGTCATTAGCGCCTTGCATACTTTTAGACATTTTGAATTACATTTACAGGTGATTTTAAAATCCTTGGGATTTAGAATTTGAAATAAAATAATGTTCAATACTCTTCTAATTTTTTGGGTAATTTAGAACATTAAAATGTTTTATAACTTCTACTAAGTCTTTGAAACCAACCTGTTTTTTATGGTGTACTATGCCGAGGTCATGGGAAAATCGTGGTAATGGGGAAACTAGCGTAATGGGAGAACACCATCTGGAGTAATTTGTGTGCAGAGCGCATCTTTTCTGACTTTTGAACTTAATTACATGTTCCGTGTTTTCGTTTTCGATTGCAGGATCCTTCCACGACGCGGATTCCCCGCCTGGATGGCGTCTCCCGGCTTCCGAAACCGAGTAGTTTTGGCCTGGCCAGCAGCAGTTGCGGTAGCACCACCAGTAAAGCCACCACCAACAGCATTATAAACACCACCAATACCACCACCACTACGCAGCACATTCGACCACCGACGAGTGCTCCCAGGGCCACCCAGATTTTTCGAACACCCAGTGTTCCTGCAAAGCCGCGTCCTACCAGCTCATATGCCCCATCCTCAACCGCTCTAAGGGATCTGGGCAGCAGTCTGAAAAAGAGCGCCAGCGGGGAACGGATAAACAATGCAGTCAGTCTGCTCAGCAAAAGGACCACCACCGTCCTGAAGAAGTACTTCAGTCCCAAGGCATCCGTCACATCCGAGATGACGAGCTCACTGCCAGTAACTCCACTTCCCGTGGGCAAACGTGGAATGATGGCCAACGATCAGTTGACCAGCAGTACTCCAATGCCCCTCTTGAGGTCCGAGACCTTTGTCTGCGAGGATGAAGAGCAATCGGATCGTGTGACTTTGGAAAGCACTCGGCTGTCCACTTTCGGACGAACAATGGATCTCGATTCACCGAATGACACCAAGGTACTGGTCAAAGGATCACCCTCGACAGATAGCACTCAGATAATGAGACCCACACAGAGCACACCGAAAACGATCTTGAGAACTTTCTGCTCCATGGATACCACTCACGAGATGACAGTCAGTACGAAAAATAACGCAACACACACTGTAAACTCGTCGTTAATAATGGGTAGAACAATGTCAGTTGTTCCGGCTAAGGATAGTACCAGAACTATATCTGAAAACCATATTAAAGTAGGAGATATCACCAAAACTATACAGGGAGTTGGTAATATCACCCAAACTTTAGAGGGAGTTGGAAATATCACCAAAACTTTAGAGGGAGCTGGAAATCTCACTAGTTCGGTTGATAAAGAAGTTAGTATTAGTAAAACCTTCGAGATAGCAGCGAATTGCACTCAGACCTATAAAAGAGGCGTAAATCTCACCAAAACTATAGACGATAAAACCGGAGATGTCTCTAGGATAATGGAAAAGGGAAGAAATACCACAAAAATCATAGAGGGTGGACAAAATGTAACGAAAACTATGGATGCTGGATTTAATCTTACGAAATCTATTGATAGAGGAACTTTGGCTACTCGGGAAGCCTATCTAAGCAAATCCATTATCAACGAACCAGGTGACTATACAAAGGTGATCCACCAAGGAGCCAATTTAACCCTGAGCATGGATCAGTTGCCCCTGCTGGAACATATATCCATGCCCTCCGGCTTGGATGTACTGAGTTCCAGGGGTTCTAGTAATGTCGGGAACATGGACCAGGAAACGGACGACACGCTGGACGTGACGTTGGTCAGTTTGGCGCGGGATAAGACCAACATGAAGCTGCCATTGAACTCCACGCTGAACAACGAAAGATTGCTGGATCTTAGTGGTCTCCAATCGCCGAGGCACATACAGCTTTTGAATCTTACCCAGGAGCTGGAGAGAGGAACGCCCAGTAGGGGTCATCTTCAGACCGGAAGGAGGTCCATTCCCCAGCACTCGCTACTGTGCCTCTCCCCCCAGTCGGCCACCACCACGCCCCACGGGATGCGGATGATGGGACATGCCACCCCGCAGCCAGTTCATCTACTATCTCCTCTTTTAAAGCAGGCCCAGAGTGCTCTGGTTTTGCCCACTCGAACGCCGGATGGCGACATTACCATGGATGGCAACGGAGCTATGGATACCACCCTGACCTCCACTTCGGGTCGAGCAAGAACGCGCTATAGCTTCGGCCTGGATTTGCCGGATACCACGCTGGACTGCTCCATCGAACTGGTGGACAACTCCTTCTCCTCTTCCACCCAATTGCAGCAGCTGCAGCAGCAGATCCTGAAAAAACAGAGCTCTTTTGATCTGGACGAGAGTCTGGGCATACTGACACCCGATCAGATGAAGGACTTCCTGGACTCACCGCACAACAATCTAATGCACAACCTGGAGTTGATTAGGATGCATCATCCCAATCTGATGCAATTGAGAATGGAGCAGACACCATCGCCGGAGGAACTGCCTCTGGATCCCATCGAAATTAAATCGGAGATTGTGAAGCAGGTGGAGGCATCGCAGGCATCGAACCAGGTGAACACCTCGCAGCACTCGAAGCTGAGCAACAGTTTCATTACCAGCGTGACCAGTGTGACTAGCTTGGATACGGGGTACCAGGGCGATGGTGAGATGTCGCGACCCGCCTCCAGGGGCGCCTGTGATCACTCGCCGAGCAATGGACCCCACTTGGGCCGGGTGAGTCGGCAACCCAGCTTCCCGCCTCCGAATCCGGCACCCCTGAGGCGTCAGGATCCCATGACAGACTCCGACTTCTTCACCGAATCGGATGCCGATGATGTCCTGCATCGCGGCGATCGGCGGGCCCAGGTGATCGATGGCCAGTTGTATGGCCCTGATATGATGCAGCCCAGCGCCTCGGTGCCCCAAATGGAGGACTCCTGCATGGAGTCGTCGGGCATTTTCACGGACGTGGAAAACCGCTGCGACGAGGAGATGAGGCAGCCGGAACTGGAGGTGGATGTCGATGTGGACATGTCGCCGGATGACTCCTCGCAGACCATGCGAAAGGGTGAGAAGTCGTTTTAACTGTTTTATATATCTGCTATACCTATCTAGCCCTGAAGAAATACAAATATATTTATAGTATTTGGAAATATCCAATATTAACTGCGATTCTTAGTTAAACTTTACGTTTTTCAGTTTATTTTAATAAATATTTGTGTAAGGCTTTTTAAGATTCATATAAAAAGTAAGATTTTTTATAGAGATCTGATACAAAATGTATTTTTTAAAATACCGATTACATTTAATCAATCACTAGTATTCGGTATTTCACACGGATCTCATATTATGATTTATTTAAAATGTTCAAGATATCTTAGAAAATTGATTAATTCTTTAAGAATGTAAGATTATTTCGTGAATCCAAATCCAATCTGTTATTAAAACAGAATGGAATAGATACTGCAATGTTTTTTTACAACATTTATAATATCACATGGGAAATCTTTTCATAAGTATAAGATTTCCCAACGATTCGTATTTGTATTTTCTTTATAACCATAACTGGACTTAATATAAAACTAGGTAATATATTATAAAAAACGTTTCAATGGAAATCGGATCTTAAGAAATGATATCACTTATAAAACGCCATCTAGTTATGAGACATGATATGTATTGAGTATGATATTCTATACGACTGATGCGCCATGCTAATAACCTCTCTTTCTCCCGCCCTCCCTAGGTCAAGGTCAGCCCACCCCCACGCCCGCTCAGAGTCAGCAGCAGCAGAATCAGCTGGCCCCCCAGCAGCGCCCCCCCAGCAGCTGTCTCTCTTCCTCCTCGGCCAACACGACGCTCTCGCTCTCGCTCTCCAACCGCACCTCCTACTGCAGCGTCGACGGCGGCAGCGCCCGAAGTTTCTGCGGCGACGAAGCTTTCGCGGCGGTACGATCCACGGGTCTCTCAGTTCAGAAGAGCACCTCGCCGCGGCCGCACGCTTCGCTCTCGTCTCTCTGCACGGTGGAGAATTTCCGCGGCTCCGTCTCCTCGAACTCTTCGATCGCCTCTCCCAAGTCGTGTAAATCCACAAGTCACAAAATCTCCGGAGTTGGCAAATCGCGCGTTTTGAAATCGCCTAAAACACCGAAATCCCCCAAATCGCCGGTAAATCGTAAGGCGCACACACCCAACAAATGGGATGCCGTGATGAATAAGATCGCCAGCAATAAGTCTCTGATCAAGACAAACTATAATGATGTAAAGTCGAAAGTGTCCAGCACAAGGATCATGACGCCGGCTTCCGGTTCGAGTCCTGTTTCCGGTTCCGTTTCGGGTTCGGGATCCGTTTCCGTTTCAAGTCGGCGCGGCAGTCCAAGTGTGAGTAGTAGTGCTAGTGCTCGGCGTTCGCCCTCGGCCACGCCCAAAGTGCCGCCCAAAATTCTGTTGGCCAAGCGATCCATGAGCAGTACCAGCAGCAGCAGCAGCTCCAAGGTCACTGCCACGCCCTCGCCGCCCCCACACGCGACCCCGCCAACACGGCAGCCACTGGATAAAGGCTCAGTTGGCGCGGGGTCAGTGGGTGGTGGTGGTGGTGCTGGTGGTATCCCCCATCGTGCGGGCAAGGCGCCCAAGTCGCCCACCTCACCCACCACACCTACATCACCGCCTGCCAAAAGACTACAATCGACCCTCGTCAGTCGGTAAGTGATCATTGACTTAAGATTGTATTTGATTTATTTAGGAAAATTGTACACTTTGAGAATGATAATGGTGTGATAAGAAGCTTAAACTTTTCAGTCTAAAATTTCAAGATAAATACGAAAATTTAGCATGATGTCTTCAAAAAGAGCAATTTATAAAACTGCGTAATTTCTTTGAAAGGGTTACGTTGTAATATAGCTAGTACTTTAAATGTATTTTATTATAATCTCTTAGATCTTTCCCATATAAACAAATGATTTTAACAACAAGCGCTACCAAAATGTCTATAGATATGTATGAGACTTCATTAATAAATGGATTTTAACAAAACTTAACTTAGCGATTAAGTTATAGTATTATATATGTATAAAAAATTTTGGTTTACTATGGTTTGGTTTTGTGAATTAGTGTAGAAATGTGGTTAAATTAAAGCAATAAAATATTTCCCATATTAACAAACGATTTAGAAACCAAGCGCTATTAAAAATATTTGGGACTTCATTAATAAATGCATTTTGACAAGCTATAAATAATAATAAAATGTTTTTTAATTGTGGCAATTATTTAATTTCATAATGATATATATCTTTTCGATTTCCTATTCCATCAATTCCAAAGAAGGGCATTTGAAGCTCCTCACAGCTCAAAGATTCTTTGTTAGCTTTAAGCATATCTTTTGCACGCTTTCTTATCGCCACCCCGAGAACATACCAAACTTATCAATCTTCTTATCACTATCACTTTATTTTGATAGCATTTTTGTGTTTGTTGGGGTGCTCCACATTTCGAATGCTTTTTTGATAGGGCAATCGAGTGGCCATTTACAAACACCTGTCTCGTTCACAATTTTAATGAGTTCAGGGGCGTTTGACTTTTGCAGCGTGTTGAGTAGATAACGATTGCACCCAGGTCTTTTAATAATTCATTAAGCATTTCGATTCACTTGGAAATTCAATGAGCTATAAGCGACGAATAAATAAATAATTGTGGAAAAATGAGGCGTGCTTTGTATTGCCCATTTCTATCTGAACTTTCTCAAAAGGTGCAAATTTATTTGGTCCATCGCAGTTTGACGTCATTTGTCGGTGTGAGCAAATGAAAACCAAATTGACCTATCCCCTAAAAAGCTTAATTAGATGGGAAATTAACCGAGCTGCGTAGGAGGTAAACAAAACTAAGCCCTAATAAACATTCATTAATTGCCATTGAGAATGAGCGATTTATAGAGCTGGGTAGAGAAAGTTAAGTACTCGGGGGTACTTAATTTATTGGAACCGTGTCGTGTGTATTAAACATCATTTAAGCAGGGATAAGTTGAATGCGAAATGTATATGTATCTATAGAGTGAACTACCCATACCAATTTCACAGCTTTTGCTGAGCTGTTTCCTCATGTGGACACAAATCGCTTGCGGCTGTTGAAATGATAATTTCGGTTCCCGAGGTGAATGCATTATACAAATTAAGACCAAAGTCACACAAACAAACGGTCGAGTATAATACTACTGAACTTTGACTTTTCAGCGGGAGGTTGTTGGGGTTTCAGAAAGCCAGACCCGCAAATTGTTCACAAAACCAAGAAGGCAGAACAAATTCCCATTTAAAATATATACCTAGAGGTTTTTGTTTTGTTTTGTTCGCAGTTCAGTTAACATGCAAAACATTTTCAATTACAAATTTTTCCGCAACTCAAAAGCGGGGAAAAAGCAAACAACAACCAGAAATTAACAAAGCCCAGCCAAAGCTTGTCTCTAAAATTATCATCTTTCGTCTGTGGTATTGTTGTATTTTTATTTACATGACGAACGCCCATAAAAATTCATTAGATAAGAGATTTTCATCTTGGTTTGGACACGATTCGGGGAATTACAAGTACTTGTTAGTTACTTGTTTTTCTTAAGCGTGAGTTTTCTTCAATTTTAATCTGATGTCTATTAGTTGAACAAGCCAAAGCCGCAAGGCAATGATTGTACTTACAGTATATGGGGGTATAAACATACATATATCTATCATCTGAGCCGGCAATAACAAACCCAGTAATGTGAATGTATCTTGTAGTGCGTTTTTGTTTTTGTTTGACTTTTGATTTCGATTCCGATGCCGATGAGCGTGAGTGTGTGAAAAACGCCCAAGCTCAAGCTCAAATCGAGTTAATTTGAGTCAACTGGTATGCTAATATGTGTAAGCGATATTGTGTGTGAATATACATACATCCAAGGTGTAAAAGTAGCTTTGGTTTTGTTTAAAATTGCATTTGTAGGCATGCAAAAATCACAGGGGGAATTACGTAAATTAATACATTTGTTACCAGCAATGAGAGAATTTTGTGATGATGAGAACATTAATGGAGTGGAATTTAAAACGAAGGTTTGCGCTTTAGTTATTTAAATGGAAGTTAAAAATGGATTTATCAAATGACATAAACAATGAGTTAAATGCATTAGCTTGTTTAGTATTTGTTTTCATTAGGTCATTTTAGTATTGCTTCTAGGCATTTAATAAAAAGTGATATCAACAATTTAATGAATATTAGATCACCATATTATTCACAGCCTGACAGAGATTGTTTTTGTTTTTATATGTATTAAACAAATGATTAGAAATAAGCTCCAAAATATTTAAAATTTGGCTTGTTTACTTCTTTAATCATTTTTTGGGTTGGAAAAAAACTATATTTTAAGTAAATATATAAGTAGTCTTTAGAAAACGTTTTATCAGTTGAAAACAACAAAAAACCCTTTCAAACTTTAATTTACAATCGAAATTTAGGTGCAAGCAAACAATTTTAGATTAAATAATAAGAAAAATATCTCAAGACCATGAGGCTGAACACATGTTATCAGCCATCAAGAACAACGTGTAACTTGAAGATAAACAAAAGGCCAAAAGGTGGCCCAAAAAAACATCGTAAATTTCGACAAGGTCAACAAAATACCAGCAATTAAGCGGGCACACGAAACATGTTCGTCTCCGGATATAAGAGAACTTTAAATTCGGCCAAGTAAAATGCAAATATTGTTTTAACGTCTAGAAATAGATGGGCGTTTCCTCTCGATGGGATCAAAAATATGTGGTGAGGAGTGATGAAAGTTGGGAGGGGTTATCAAATTGGAAATCGAACATTATTCAGGGGTGAGACTTTGGCATAAAAACAATTTATGCCTGGTAAGCGGATTCATTAACACGTACATGTGAAACTTTGTATCTTACTTATGCTTTTTTACCAGGCAGTTAAAGTTTTTATGTTGGAGATTCATAAAACATAAGTGTGATAAATTACAGAGAGAGAAAAGTTGAATTTTCTTTGGATGCTTATGGTGAATTTATATTTACTTAAGGCATAATTTAATTTTTATCTTCAGATACACACAAATGACTTATTATTTTCCCAAATAAATATCTCAAAAATTCGTTTTGGCCATTAATTAGAATCCAATAAATTGCCCTGCAGCTATAAACTAGTTTTCTCGCCGTGGATTCATTAACATCCATCAGATACAACTGTCTATGCTGTGTTTACGACTTTGACCTTTCGCAATGATATGGTAGTTTAGCACTAATGACGTCGGCGATTGTCCGTATGCCTCTTCGATAAAATAGCCATAAATGTCATGGTGTTATTAATAAAAGTTGCCCATCGCACTCAATTGATTGCGACTGCCAGTGGCGTGGAAAATGCTAATAAAGTTGTTTCCATCTCGGGTAAAAGTCGGTTGCTCCGGGGGCTCAACTTTAATTCGCAATCGCAGCAACATAAATTCAGACAATCATTTAACCAGTCTTAAGCCTGGTGGCAAATATTGTGACAAGTGTCATGAGGGCTGTCAACACTCGAAGTTCGCACCCATTTAACGCCCACAGAAATAAAAGCTCTTGCTGTTTTAATTAAAAATGCAACCAGTTACTCTTTTCGGCTAGTTTAAAGTTTATTTCATATTATGTAATATTTTACCGGCAAGCGAAACAAGAAAAAATGTGTACACAAAAAAGGTAAACTTGTTATCCAAACAAAAAAATGGTTGGTAAGAAAAAAGAAAGAAAAAGGCCTTTTCATTTGTGTTTACCTTTTTAATAAACAATTTTTCTGCTTACATAGCTTGGTCATTCATAAATTCTAAATGGGCTTAAAAAATAAATGTTTATAAATATTAAATTAGCTGCCTTTGGGCAGGCAAATAAAGATACAATTTTTGGCTGGACTTGGCGGCTAACAAATGTATGAATTTAAATATATTCGATACTCTTGAAAATCCAGTTTAAATTTAATCGATTCCACGATATTTGTGCGCTTTAATAAAACCAGTATTTTAATAGCTCAGATCGTTTAAACGATTCCGAGAACAATTTTTATTGCAGGTAATTGTTCATTGATCTCTTGGAAAACGGAAGTTTCACCATTAAATCAAGAGAAAATTTCATAAAAACCATTTCAATCTACAAAGAGCTGAAATATCAACCAAAAATAGCCACAGGGAAACGTTAAAAAACTCAATGAAACAGAGCATGAATTTTATTATGGTTATTTTTTAAATTCCTTGAACCGAAAAATTTAAAAATGCAAATTATTTAGCACAGCATGAGATTAACATATTATAAACTTATGTTGTTGCCAACCAACTACGTTCTTTATATACCCTTTTCAAGGCAAATATCAAAAGCCACGAGAACTCAAAGACCGAGTTAAATGTTAAATATTTGATGGACAACAAATGCTGTTAAAAGTTGAAACTCGCAAAGCTAATTTGGCTCCCAATTGTTCTGTGGCTTGGCCAAAATTAAATAAAACCCAAGGAGTTTCAAAGTGTCGAAACTTAACGAGAAACTAGTTGAGTAAATTTACAATTTACGTGTAAACTTATTTCTTTGCCAAAAATTACCGAAAATGTGGTTGAGCTCTTGTTTGCCATTGCAATTTGTACAAGTGAAATACCGCATAAAAGTGTTGTTTGTTTCCCCCAAAATGGAAAAGTTGAGAAGCTTTATACCCATTTGGATAAATG